AAGGTGGGGAGATGCAGGCTGGAGAGCTTGCTCGGGGTGCTTGGGGTGGAACCATAGTGAACCATCTACCCCTCAGTAGCCCTCAGCTGAGAGAAGACTTAGAATGAACACAACCGAAGAGACAGGGGAAAAGCGAAACAACTGCCTAAGGTAGTCAGTGTCTGAACTGCAGGCTGGGTCAGGACTGTTGGCAAGAGAAATCGAGTTTCTGCTTGTGAAGACACGATAGTGGAGGCACACAAATGCCCCAGACACACACACACACACACACACACACACACACACACACACACAAATGCCCCAGACCCTCCTCACTAACACACACACACACACACAAATGCCCCAGACCCTCCTCATTAACACACACACACACACACACAAATGCCCCAGACCCTCCTCACTAACACACACACACACACACAAATGCCCCAGACCCTCCTCACTAACACACACACACACAAATGCCCCAGACCCTCCTCATTAACACACACACACACACACACACAAATGCCCCAGACCCTCCTCACTAACACACACACACACACACACAAATGCCCCAGACCCTCCTCACTAACACACACACACACACACAAATGCCCCAGACCCTCCTCACTAACACACACACAAATGCCCCAGACCCTCCTCACTAACACACACACACACACAAATGCCCGCAGACCCTCTTCAGTAACACACACACACACACACAAATGCCCCAGACCCTCCTCAGTAACACACACACACACACACACAAATGCCCCAGACCCTCCTCACTAACACACACACACACAAATGCCCCAGACCCTCCTCACTAACACACACACACACACAAATGCCCGCAGACCCTCTTCAGTAACACACACACACACACACACACACACAAATGCCCCAGACCCTCCTCAGTAACACACACACACATAAATGCCCCAGACCCTCTTCAGTAACACACACACACACACACACACAAATGCCTCATACCCTCCTCAGTAAGACACACACATACAAATACCTGCAGACCCTCCTCACTAACACATACACACACACACAAATGCCCCAGACCCTCCTCAGTAAAACACACATACACTACACACATACAAATGCCCCAGACCCTCCTCAGTAACACACACAAATAAATACCTGCAGACCCTCCTCAGTAACACACACACACAAATGCCTCCATACCCTCCCTCAGTAACACACACACATAAATGCCTGAGACCCTCCCTCAGTAAGACCTGGCATTGGTTAACGCATCACAGTCATGGCTGTTACCTAATGAGATAATTAAAGCAAGCACGGTGAAGGTGTGATCCTCCCCTTTCCCAGCTATCTCAAGTGACTGATCCAAGGCACACGCTCCTCTCATAGCCCCAAGGCTTCCTGAGTGCCCGGAGGCCTTCCTGAACACCTGGCTGGAGGCCGAGCTCTAGCTTCTAATGGTGCCTCTTCTACTTCCAGAAAAGGACAGATGAAGCAGGATTCCAGAAGCTGATGAGCAACCTGGACAGCAACAGGGATAACGAGGTAGACTTCCAGGAGTACTGCGTCTTTCTGTCCTGCATTGCCATGATGTGCAATGAATTCTTTGAAGGCTGCCCGGATAAACAGCCCCGGAAGAAGTGAAGACTCCTCAGATGAAGTGTGGGGGTGTGGTCTGCCAGGGCAGCTCTTCCCTCTTGGCTCCGAGCATAGTGCCTTACTCTGGCTTCTTCATACACATGCACAATGCTGAGCGAGTTCAATAAAGAGTCTCGAAACTATGAGCTGTGCCTAAGAGACTGGAGATTGTGGGTTGGAGGCTGAGGGAGGGTGTATCATAGGGGAGTCATGGGGACTGCTGGGAGTTGAGGGGGACCTTGTGTACTAGAAAGGGGTGGGGAGGGGTAGAGTGGCTGATTTATTGAGCATGCGTGTGAGTGTGTGTGTGCGTGCGCGTGCAACAAAGCAAACTCTGGGAACACTTAAGGCAGAAGCCACCAGAGGTTTGGCTTGAAAGGCTCCAGATGTGGGAAGTTAGCCAGCACCCTCCTTCCTCTCTCCAGAACTGCCTCTGGGCTCAAACTGAAGTTGGGTGGGATTGAAGGTCACATCTGTTGCTGGTTGGAGTCTGGAGGGAAGACAACGGACCTGAGTCACAAGGAAGGGGTCCTGAAGAGAAGGATGGGGAGCTGAGCTGGCACCCGCCCCTGACATTTCCAGCCATGTCCTGCCCGGCTGCCCATTCCGGCTCATTGGCTTCAGACAGCAGATGAATCCTTTCCCGTCCGTGGCTGGAGGGAGAAAGGCAATATAGAGGGATCATTTGTGGGAGCATAACTCCTCTCTCCCTCTCTCTCTCTCTCTCTCCCTCCCTCCCTCCCTCCCTCCCTCCCTCCCTCCCTCCCTCCCTCCCTCCCTCCCTCCCTCCCTCTCTCTCTCTCTCTCTCTCTCTCTCTCTCTCTCTCTCTCTCTCTCTCTCTCTCTCTCAGCTAGCTTTGAACTTCTGATCCTCCTAGCCAGCTTCCCCAGTTCTGAGATTACAGACATATGCTACCATGGTTGACTGAAAAGCCGTTCTCGTAACATACTGTCCCCGCCCTCAGAGGGCTCTGGGGCAAGATCTATTTCTAAGAACCACATTGTTCATAGGAGGACAAGGGGCCTCAGGGTGAATAAATGAGGGGCGGGTAATGACTAGGTCGCAGTGAAGCAGGTGATGGGGAGATGACCGCAGTTTTAGAGATGTAATTTTGGCCATATGATCTGATAAAGAAAATCAAGATCCCCCATCTCCTCACTCCCTCACCTCTAGAACATGAGGCAAATGTTGCTCCTCCCTAGGGCAGGCTTAAGTGGTTCCAGAGAATGAGACTGAGATTCGATGTCAAGCCCTGGCCTGGCTGATGTGGGGGTGCTTAAGGAAAGGTACCCACACCCAAGCTGTCCCAAGGCTGGTGAGTTCGCTTCCTAGCTTCCCTTCTCACCATATTGTGCTTTTCTCCCCAGCCTCAGAGGAGTAGGGAGGTGACTCAGTTGTTCCCTTGGAGTTTGACTACGGAGACTTAGGTCCAGGCTAAGCACATCTTCTCTTTTGTGCACGCCCAGTCAATCCACCCATCTTCCATGGGAGTGCGCTCCCGGGAGCCTCCTCCTGCATCACTCTCTACTTTCGGAAACTCCCGTTGCTTAGCGACAGGTCCCCGCTGTGTCACTAGTGTAATAGCTGTGGTGGGGTGACAAAGGGGGCAGCTGAGAGGAACTAGGCAGGCTAGGGTGGGACTTTAGCCAAGATTAGGGCCTATGCCCCTAACCAAATTCTGTTCTTGGAGTCAGTGTGAGTGTTCCCAGAATGCAGGAAACTCACCTTGGCCCCGATGCCACGCATGCATGACTATGCCTGAAACTGGAGTCCCTTCCACAGGCCACAGTGTCAACCCAGTCCTGAGTCTTTCTTTGATCCTCTTCCCCAAGCCCGGATTCTTAGTCCTCCAACCCAGGGGTCTCCGACAACTTGTTCCCATCTTTTACTTTGTGTTAGCTAGTGACTTCAGCCGACTGTCCTTGGCAAGAGATATCTTCCTTCACTGATCCCATCCCAAGATGGGTCCTTGTGCGCTTGGAAGGGATGGGAGGATGGAGGGTCTCAATGTGGAGAGTAGTCTAGTGTATGGGGACATTATACCCTGTGTTTGGCCCACACCTTCTACTGTTTTTTTTCTGGAGAGGCCAACTTGCCCTTTTCAACCTATTGCTTCACCAGGTGTGAGGTTTAGTAGGAAAACAATGGTTCCTGGTATTGAAAATGTGTGTGTCGTGGTAGACTTCACGTGCCATTCCAGCCCCGTTTGTAAACAGCAAGTCAGACTTTCCAGAGAGGGTTCCCTTCGACCTTTTCTGGATTCCTCATATCTCGGATCCCTTCTCATTGGCCCTACCCCTCCTGATTCTCCTGGGCCTTAGGGATGAGGGAATAAAAGCAGAGAGCACTGGTAGGCAGGCTGTGGCTGCAGCCCAGATTCTCCTGCGGGTTTGCTTCTTCATTGGTGAGTCCTTCCTTCGGATGCCCGCCTTCATTTCTGCTGGGCCAGCCTGGTTGAGGAAGAGTGTGGCAAGACATGGAAACCTCCACAAGGAAGGCCTGGCCTTGCAAGTGGGAGCATGCTTAGGGAGGAGAGGGCAGGGTATGTGTTATTGTGACTAAGGATCTCCTGAGAAGCCAACTCTAGGAGCAAGAAAGCTGAGGCAGGAGGATCGTGAGTTTGAGAGTAGTCATCTTAGGATTTATTGTGAGACACTGTCTCAGGGAGAGAGAGAAGGGAAGGAGGAGAGGGGAAGACGGGGGAGCAGAGCCTGCTCGCAGAATCAGCAAGATGTTCCTGCAGATGCTTAGAGTCCCTTCCTTGCCTTGAACTGTGGTCTGGCTGAGCCTCCATGAGGTGGGAGAAGCTGATGGTATGGGAGGCAGGAGATGAATGATGGGTTGAGTCCAGCTCAAAAGCTTCTTGGGTTGGAGGTAAGAGTCAGCAGTTTCTCCCCACCCTCCTACCTAGCCCAGGGTTCTCCACCGGATCTCCAGAAGCTGCCAGTTCTGTGACCATTGTTTCCTTCCCCTTTAGGAGGAAGTGGTTTTTAAACCCAAGCCCCACACGCTTCAGCTGTCTGCTCTTTTGGTAGAGTGGCTCTGCTGACAGAACTTAAGCCATTATCCACACCCAGCCTCTAGAACCACGTCTCATGAGATCCTGGCCATGCCGATTCCCACCCTGTCAGGCTGTGGGTGAAGCTCTCTGGGCATCAGACTGGAGGTCACTGGGCAAGTCCAGTCACCTCTCTCTGGCTTCCTGCTGAGATCTTATCTCCCAGTTTTAGCCCCAACCCCCTCTGACCCCTGGACTCCTTTTTTGCTCCCCCCACCCCCCAGTGAGACACTCCCTCATTTCCAGTGACTCAGAGGCTGGAGAAAGGAGGGTGGCTAGGTGGGAACTCTGGCTGGAAAGCCAGAGCCTGAGCTGCATGGGGAAGAGAAAAATGCTGACCCCCATCTGTTGAAGCAGTTCTTCGGAAGAGGCTGTCCCATACCCTCTTTGTTCCCGGGCCTCTCTGTCAGCACCTCTTGATCAGGGAAGCCCACAGCCTCCTTTGGGGGCTGGACACTCACTGATTTGGCTGCTCCGGTATATTTGTCATGGCCCTCATTACAACCTGTCTATATATACGGGGATCTTCTCGATGGTGGAGTTTGGTCTCACCATGGGCTCCTGGCAATGGTGTTTTGGGAGTGACTGGTGAGGAGCAGGCCCAGCTCCTCCAGTGCTGTGACTGTCTCCTCTCCCACTCCAGAGTGCACGTCGGGATGGAGACTCCTCTTGAGAAGGCCCTGACAACCATGGTCACCACCTTCCATAAATATTCCGGGAGAGAGGGTAGCAAGCTGACCCTGAGCAGAAAAGAACTGAAGGAGTTGATCAAGGCAGAATTGAGTCTTGCAGAGGTAGGAGGCCATTCTCTCATATTCCACCACACATTCTCAGCAGCCTTCTGGGAGACGCCCACCTACTTGCTGGGTACTCTAGTTTAGGCAAGGGGCAGGAGTCTGAAGGGCCAGAGGCCGGGGAAGTGGTGGGCATCTCTGGCTGCCAAGGCTCTAGACCTCTGTGCTGGGGGCTGAATCACTGGAAAGGAGGTGAGGCTGGGTTGCACTGCTGCCTAAGGAGGCTGTGGGATCACGCAGAGGAGACTTTGATGATGGGTTGCATAGCCTGCGTTATGGATCTTGAGGATTTGAGGGATGCGGGGTCCCGGGTTTGGCTGTGTACAACTCAAGGTAGGGATTCTTCTTGATTCTCCTCTGTGCCTGGCACAGCCAAGGTGCTAAGTGATGCTGTCAAGTCATCTAACAGGGTAATTTATGAGCATGGGGTAGGAAGGAGAGAGCATTGATTCTGATTGGATGGACACAATGGGAATGGTGGCTGCCTGACTTGAAGGTCTTTGAGATAGAGTAGTTGAGCTTCAAATACATCAGAGAACTTGTCTATTGAGGCTGAGCTGGAATTCCAGGCCAGGTCTCTGCACCAGCCTCCTATTTATCTTTACAATAAAGTCCCATATTCCACTGTTCCCCCAGGGAGGGGGTTCCTGGAATATGTCCGTGGGTGGGGGTGAAATACATGTGCTCTCAGGTCTCTCTGTGGCTCCCCCAAGGCATATGGAGTTCACCATGCTGTACACACTATCCTTCCTTTTCTTTTTGAGACAAAGTTTCTCTGTGTAGCCTTGGTTGTCCTGGAACTCCCCCTGTAGTTCCTGACCAGGCTGGCCTCCAGCTCACAGAGATCCACTTTCCTCTGTTTGCTGAGTGCCACCGTGCCTGGCCTGGCATATACGTATTCAGTACCAGAAACCACTCTGCCAACCTGGAACTAATGAAGGTAGAGGGACTTCTGGTCCATCAGGTGCTAATTGCTGGGGGACAGAGCCCCAGGGGAGGAGTCTAGTCTGGGGACCATGTTACAGAGAGGCAGTTTCCAGCATCCTGGGTATCAACATCCTGTATCCAAGGGAGACCTGGAACTGATTTCGATAAGAGGGAGAGCGGGGTCTCCCGGCTTGTATTTTCTTGCTCCACCCTAAGGCTCTGTCTTCAACTTCCTAGAGGAGCCAGGGTACAGGGACCAAACTGAGAGGACATCTGGTGTCAGGCTGGGGCTGAGGGCATGCTGGCTTCTCATCTCCAGCGTACCGATCTTACAGAGAAGTATATAGTGATGGCTGGGTCCTTTCCCAGCTTGGCCTTACAGTACGGACAGGTTAAGTCTGGGACTTGGATGATGCTCAGGTCTACGGAGCCAGAACTCAAGCTGTTTTTAGTAGATATTGGTATCAATTGTAGATTATAGTTTCTTTGGGTGGGAGGATGTCCCAGGAGCAGAGGCTAGACTAGCCTTCTTCCTGTAATTCATTTGGAATCAGCACTCAGGTCATGGACCCCATTTGGTGTAGGTCCTGTGTAAAGGTGTGGGTTGGGGCTGAGCTGCTGAGCAGTCTCCTCCCCCTCGGCCCTTGCAGAAGATGAAGGACAGCAGCATCGACAACTTGATGAAGAGCCTGGACAAGAACAGCGACCAGGAGATTGACTTCAAGGAGTACTCCGTGTTCCTGACCACGCTGTGCATGGCCTACAATGACTTCTTCCTAGAGGACAACAAATAACCAGGGTCCTCTCTGCCCACACCTGCAGCTCCTTGCCCTGCCCTCTGCAGCCTCTTACACCCCTAGCCCTTCTCTTTCTCACAGATGGATTCTTCCAGTAGAGGAATAAAGCCTTTCCCCCCCTCTCCATGTGTTAGTTTTGAGGTGGTTTGTCTCTGTTCGCTGAGTCAGGGCAGAGCAAATAGACATTTTGAGCCATTCAGCCTCAGGCCACACACAGGCCTGTGGGTAGAGGGGTTGGGCTTTCACCCCACTCCGCTGGCTGCCCTTTATTGTGGATGCTGTTGAATGTGTCCTGGCTTTGTTCTGCACTGTAAAACAACAAAGCTGGCCCAGGCATCTGCGTGCTTCCCCAGGGAGCAAAGATGCAGAGGAAGCGATGAGAAAAAGCGTCGGGAGCGAGGAGGCCACGGTGATGGTCTGTGCCTACCAGTGCAGTGATGCCCAGTGGGTCTCACTTGGGGCACAGCTCACAGGAGGCCACTCTGGCAGCCCTCTGTAAAAAGGAGAGACATGGACTTAGCACCCTAACCCACTGAGTGACTCCAGGAGTCTAACTCCTCCTCCCCCAACTTCCTCTTCTTGAGACTTTTCTTCAGGAGAAAATGTTCAAAACTTTTCACTTAGGATGATAACTAAACATGCTGGCTGGGCTGGGATCTATTGTGTGAACATTCATGCGTCAGCTGCTCTAAACTCCCAGGCAGTGAGCCGGAGGAATCGAGTTAGACAGAAATTTACTGTTGGTGGGGGATGGTGTCTGAAATCCTTTAGACCTTGTCCCTCCCCCTTTTTTTGAGACAGGGTTTTATACAGCCCAGGTTGGCTCAAAATTCTGCCTCGTGGGGTCAACCTACTGAGCTATATCCCCAAGTCTTACACTAGCGAGGTAGAACCACCCTTTAAGAGGGGTCGCCTAAGACCATCGGAAAACACAGGCATTTACACTGCGATTCATAACAGTAGCAAAATTACGGCATGAAGCGGCAACGAAAATAATTTTATGATTGGGGGTTATCACGACATGGGGATCTGTATTCAAGAGTCACAGAATTAGGAAAGTTGAGAACTATTGTCTTAGACGATCTAGTAGACCACTGACTGCTTCCCCTCCGTCACCTGGAGCTGACCTTGCCACCAGAGGGCAACAGTGAGGGTTCCACTCCCCCTCACATTGAGGCTAACTTCAGGGACACATTGTGCTCTGGCTGGCAGATGGCCCAGCACACAAGCCGGAGTCACGAGTCACGTGCCAGAAGGCCAAACTGAAGTATGGAAATTAGGAGAAACTCGATGTCTCCCGTTTGCGCTGGTCTTCCAAACCAGGGTCACTAGGCTCCCTCATGCCGCTCCTAATTCGGGACAGTCCTGGCAGCAGAGGAATGGAAAACTGAGGGGGGTTGTTGGGGTTGTGTTTTGCTGGCCTTTGGCGCCGGGTGGGGCTTGGGGCGGGCCGGCACTCCTTGGGCGGGCCTCCCGGATGCTAGCCGCTATAAGGCCAGCCGGCTGCGACACAGTCCATCCCCTCGACCACTCCTTTGGCTCTTCGCGGTCTGTCTACGGTGCGGTGAGCTCTTGCTGGGGCAGCCCTAGCTCCCTCTAGGATTGGCTCCTGGGCTGGGGGACAAGCCACTTCCTGACACAGTCAGCCCCTACGGGCTCCGCGGGTGGTCTGCACTGGGTTCTAAATCTGCCGAGTACCGGGGTGGGGGACGTAGGGAGAGCCAAGATCGGCTGGGTTGTGCCAGGCAAACCTGGAGGCTAAGGCATCCCTATGGGGCGGCTCCCCGAGCCTGCTTTTCTGGGGTGCAGGAAGGTTTGCCCTGGGTGTGTCATTGTCAGGAAGTGCCCTGGAGCAGCCTCCATCCCTTCCTCTGCTCTCTTGGGATCCCTGGAGGACAGTGCTCAGACACCCCAAAGCCAGTTCCATCCTTACATCTCTGACCCTGGTTGCTCTGGGCTGCTTGTACCTGTGTTGGCTTAAGGCTAGCCGGTTCAGACAGGCAGCACTGACCAGCCCCTCTGTCAAACAGCTTCTTCTAGCCCAGCCGTCAATTATGGCATGCCCCCTGGACCAGGCCATTGGCCTACTCGTGGCCATCTTCCACAAGTACTCTGGCAAAGAGGGTGACAAGCACACCTTGAGCAAGAAGGAGCTGAAGGAGCTGATCCAGAAGGAGCTCACCATTGGCTCTGTAAGTAGCCCCTGCCCAGGTTGCCCCTCCCACCTCTGCCCATCTGAGCACATTTACGGGCATTTACTCTTAGTTCCTGATCCTACTTCCCTTGGAGACAAGCCTGTATGCTCCCAGCCTGCTGAGGGAGGAACAGGGACTGAGGAGAAGTAAATCGAGGCAAACCCAAGCTGAAGGCCCATCCTGGGTGACACTGAGCAGACACCTGAACAAGGACTTCCAGGGAAGGGGTAAGGAATCTAGGGCTCTGGCCACCATTAAACGTGGGCGTCTCCTTCTAATGTGTTAGAAACTGCAGGATGCTGAGATTGCAAGACTGATGGACGACCTGGACCGCAACAAGGATCAGGAAGTAAACTTCCAGGAGTACGTTGCCTTCCTGGGGGCCTTGGCTTTGATCTACAATGAAGCTCTCAAATAAAATGGGAAGGTAGAGATGCCTTTGGAGGCCTATCTCAGCCAAACCCAGTGGTGGGTAATTGTACAATAAATGCTTTGTTTTTGTTATGTCTACTCCTGGTCTCTGGCTCCCCTCTGATTTCTGGTTGCCTCCTGGCTTGCTGCTGAACTCACTATCCTAGTCACAGTCAATCTCCAAGAGTAACTCACTGACCTGCCCAGACAAGGTCTGCTGGCTCACCAGGAGTCTTTATGGGCATTGGAAAAGGTGCCCCCTCTAGGCAAAGCCGCCGTCAACAAGGGCTCAAGTGATCTCCAGGAGGGTCTGGGGTGTGACATAGAGTTAGGGGCCACCAGAAGCAGGGCAGTAATACTCCCACTTGTCTTCTGGAAGACATGCTTTGGTCTGGGTGTGGTGAGAGAGAACATATTACTATATGGGCCCTGGTGTTGAGCAATCCCCCTTTCACTGTATGCTCTGTGTAATAGGAGGGAGGGGTGGGGAAGGGCACATCTGAGGTGCCTGAAGTGGCCAAGGACACTGAGTTTTCTGAAGCTGCCCTGTTCCAGTTGGAGTGGGGGGGCACACTTTAGGAGTCTATCCCTGCTTCCACTATGGGGTGCTTTTTGTTAGGGTGGTGTCCCGAGCAGCTGATGGCTCTGTGAACATGTGACTCACAAACAGGGCAGAGTTGGGGTCCTTAGACATGCCAAATGCAGCTTCAGGCCTTTCTGTCAATATTGACCTAGCCTGTCCCTGCAGAATGACTCACAGGGCCACTCCCCTGGAACCCACTGAGCCCTCAGTCCCCATCAGAGTAGATGGCCAATTGAGTTACTGCCTGTGTGTACATTGAGACTTAAATCATAGGCACGGGAAAATCTGTGATGTGTCTGGGTGTCATGGAGACAGCATTTGCCGATATTCCTTCCTGGCAGGCCTGATCCAAGTTGGGCAACATCTTGGCCAAAACCTGAGGGAAAAAGATCTTGACTTCATGTGAAGACCATAGCCCTTTTCTCTTACTTCCCCACCTTTTACAGTTAACCTCTTGGCACCAAGACTTCCCTTGCATTGGGTGTGGTTAGTAAACAGCAGCAGAGGCGTTTCTTGAAAACCTTCCTTCTCTAGTAGCCTCCTGGTCTCACCACACTGTTGTGCAGCCAGAGGGTCCCCGAGCCGACCTCCCGCTATGCGGATAAGCCTTGGCTCTACTCGGTGACTCTGGAAAAGTATGCCTTAGGTCCTCGCCCACACCCAGTTGTTGACTCTTTGGGATGAGGAGTAATCGCCCTCTTGTGGACAGAGAGCAGGTTGCCAATAGGGAAGCGGGGTGGAGGTGTGGGCTTGGGAGGCTAGGACCCGGAAAAGGGGAAAAGGAGCTTGGTGGAGAGCGGGAGGAAAGTCTAGTTGGCTTTCTGAGCCCCTGAGGAAGGGGCAACAGCGATGAAGCCAGGAGTGGGAGTCAAAGTTTAGGAAGTCTGGGCTGTTCTAGGGGAGACACAATTAGCTTATTCAGGGAATGTCACGGTGGGGCATGGTTTAGCTTCGAGCAATCAATTCAATTTCATCCGAGGCACATTTGTTAGAAGCAACTCAAGGGAGGGAAGGTTTCTGTAAAAGAGGGGAATCCAAGCCCTTTTCCCCCAGATCCCTTTCCAGGGTTAGAAGACCGAGACAGTCAGTGAGGCTCTTGGAGGGTGAAGGGGAGTTGACTGGGGTGCAGAGCTGGGGGTGGAAAGAGATGTCTGGTCCCTTAGGTGGCTGACAGGCTCTGCTGTGTGTGTGTGGGGGGGAAGAGAGGAGCAGAAGGTGCAGTCCACCTACAAACTAAAACTACACCTCTCTGGGTGTGGAGGCGCACCTCTTTAATGCCAGCACTCTGGAGGCAGAGACAGATGGATCTCTGTTGAGTTCGGGGCTAGCCTGGTCTACATTTCAAATTGCAGGCCAGTCAGGGCTGCATAGTGAGACATAGTCTTAATGGGAAAAGAGGGCGGGGCTTTAAAAAGCAGAACAAAACAAAGCGAAATAAAACAAGTAACAAAACTTTTGTCTGCGTTGGGGATGTAGTTTAAAATTCAGAAGCAAAGAGGCATTTACGTGGGAAATTTTGGTGGGTGCAACAGGCGGGGCATAGGACTGGGTGTGTCGGGTGCAGACTGACTGCTTCATTTGTCCACAAGACTTCAAGCTGGCTCTTGAGCACGGTCTGGGTTCCAAGGACGGGGGTAGAGCTGGGGATTTGGCAGCAGATTCCTTCCTCTCCCGGGGCATCTGCCACCTTTCCAGGCTTATCAGAGGGAGTGGCCCTGCTACCCCATTCCCGTAGTCGAGGTTCTGTTCTTCCCGTGCCCTGCACACTTGGCAGGAATCCGTAATCTAGTCACCCTTACACCCACGATGCTGGAATAGCAGCATCTGTTTCCATAAAGTGGTCAGCCTCCAGGTGAGGCTTGGGGTGAGACTGACTCAGGATGCATTTGCATTGTCATCCTCTGCCAAGCACATCTAAAACTGTCAACAACGA